GTCCCATCCCGCTGCGCTATGCCGGCTGTTTAGGATCCAAAGCTTCTCCACTCGTTTTGTTCTTTCCTTTCCTTTCCTTTTTTCTTTTCTTTCTTTCTTCTTCCTCTTTTTTTTTTCTTTTTAAAGGGGGGCAACCCCGGTGGTGGGCAGCCTGGCCCGCACACACCCGGTCTCAAACCCCGACAAAAACAGATGCACTTTGACTTCTGACAGCTCTACCTCAAGCGGGAGAGAACTCAGCGGCTCTTTCCCCACAACCCGAGCTCGCCTCGTCTTTCTTCTCTTCTCGGTCTCAGTTTTATTTATTTATTTCCGTCCCGCCACCGTTCTCAGTGACCTTCACTCCTCCGCGGTCTCTGGGCAGAAGGGTCGCTTTTTTGCCTGCTTGAGACTCCTCTTCCTCGCGGGGGGAGCTGAGGAGGCAGTGCTACGCCCCCCAGGCCCTGGGACTCCGAGGCTGCACACTCTACGGAGGCGACTCCGGCCCTCCATCAGCCCCGCCTCCCCGGTTTTGATTTCCTGGTGTGGGTTTTGGCTTGCACGGCAGGCCGAGGGTGTCTCTTTTTTGGAGGGTCTTGGGAGCTTGTGCCGGTCATCTTTGGGAGTCGTCTGCTTGGTTCTACTTGCTCCTCTTTTCCCGGGCCTCATCCGACCAAACCAAAGACCATGGTGCACTGTGCAGGCTGCAAAAGGCCCATCCTGGACCGCTTCCTCTTGAACGTGCTGGATAGGGCCTGGCACGTCAAGTGCGTTCAGTGCTGTGAATGTAAATGCAACCTGACCGAGAAGTGCTTCTCCCGGGAAGGCAAGCTCTATTGCAAGAACGACTTCTTCCGGTGAGTACTTCCCTTCAGCGCCTCTGCCGCTCCCTCCCCGGGGACTCTTCCTGGTCAGCTTCGGATCAGAGGTCAGCGTGGCCACCACAACAGCATTAAGAGCTGGCTCAGGAGAGGGTCCCATGGGCTCCCGCCTCTTTGCCAACTGGCATGCTGGTTGCTCAGGACGTGGCCCTGCATGCGTTCTGGAAACTGGGTCCTGGCTTGGCTGCACGTGCTTGGGAAGAAAGAGTCTGAGCCCATCTGGGCCAAGAGGCCCCTCTAAGCTTGGAAGAGCCAGGGTAACCTTGGGCATAGTAGTGTTGGCTTCTGTCTTTTTCCAAGTCACTCTCTAGCTACTGCAACTCCCGCCCCCCTCCCAGCCTCCCAGGTTGCTCAGTCTCCCGGCTGGGCTTAGAAATCTGGGATACCTCCCTGCCACAGGGTTTTTGGTCTGTGAGGGGTCTGGGCAAACTGCCAGAGTGTCCCAGCATCTGCCCTGACAGCAGCAAAAAAGAGCAGGGCCTTGAGGCCAATTCTGTATGCCCCAGGGGTCTTCCCAAAACCACCACTGGCCTCCCAGCAAGACAGGGAAACTGCTGCACCTTAGCCTGGGAAGTGCCCAGAGCGCTCGCGTGTGTGCCTGTGTGTGTGTGTGTGTGTGTGTGTGTGTGCCTCCCCCCCTCTCTCTTCCCCCCCCCCATCCTTGCTGCTGAGGTTGGCTAGATGTTAGGCCTCAGCCCGAGCAATCTGGGCTCTGAGGGGCAGGCTACACTCTGGAGTCCTCCCAGACACTGCTCCACCAAAGCTCACCACTCCAAGCTGGAATTCAGAGAAAAGCTGAGATTGCCCCTAAGAACAGGGAGACACCTTCTTATTTTCCTCCTCCATTTACCATTTTAAGTGTATTCTCTTAAGCTCACTATTTCATCATCTCAGCCAAACACACAAGTCTGTTGTCAATGCGAATTTTAATTCCACTGTGTGGATTTGAAATCTTTAAGTATACTAGGCTGCCTTGGTCTCTGCTTTTCTGAGTTTATGATGACAGGTCAAACCGGTGGGGAAGGCAAAAGGAGGAAGAATTTGAAGGCATCTGGCCGCTTTGCACAGAGGCCCAAGTCACACTGTCGTTTCCAATGCCGCTCCTGCTCTTGTAGCAGAGAACCAGGAGCCAAGCACTATGCAGCCTGTTGTTGCCTCGCCAGGAGGAAGCGCGGGCTGAGGCTCTGAGCCTTGGCGACCTGCATCGCGTTTCCTCAGCAATGATGGGATCAGAGTCCAAGGGTAACAAGCTGTACCCACTTCCAATGGGGCCCTGTGACCTGGCTCTGGCGAACTGTGGCCAGAGCCCGCTCAGCCTTGTCGAGGTTTCTGCTTGAGCCCACCTGCTAGACTTTGGGCATGAACGTGGCGGCTACCCAGCTACCACCACCAGGATTATTCACAATTGTGTTTATTTACCCTCGGCCAACTGACCTCTCAACCTCCAGCTTGTGCTCGGATCCTTTTGCTACCATCCTTCTGGCTCCCTCTCTGCCTGAGAGAGGCCACGCTAGGAGAGAAAAGTGGCTCTCCAGGCGTGTTTATGTGGAGATAAAATTCGAATTTAATTTTTCTGAATCTAATTGGAAAATATGTCCTCTATTCCCTTCACTCCCCATCCGCTGCCTTGCCAGATTCTTGGGCGATGCTTTTTTTTTCCTCTGGGATTACGCTGGGCCGGGGGTGAGCCTGGGTTTGGGATATAGTTTGGGCCCCTTGCTCTAACCATGCGTATCTCCTCCCCGACTTTCCCTCTGGTGCCTCACGGTCTGTCCTGCTTCCTCACCTACTTAACTGGCATTCTGCCTCTCTCTCCCCTTTTTTCTCCCTGTCTCTTTTCCTCTCCTTCTTCTCCCTGTCTTTCCTTCTTTCCCTCCTCCTTCCCTTTCTACTTCGTTCTCTATGGGGTTATCGCCTTTGCCTGGCCACTGTCTCCCCCTGTCCCGCCAACCCACCCTTTGCTCCCTCCTAGGTGTTTTGGTACCAAATGCGCCGGCTGCGCGCAAGGCATCTCCCCTAGCGACCTGGTGCGGAGAGCGCGGAGCAAAGTGTTTCACCTGAACTGCTTCACCTGCATGATGTGTAACAAGCAGCTCTCCACTGGCGAGGAGCTCTACATCATCGACGAGAACAAGTTCGTCTGCAAAGAGGATTACCTAAGTAACAGCAGTGTCGCCAAAGAGAACAGCCTCCACTCGGGTGAGGCCCCAGTTCCCGGCTGGCTAGGATCTGGCAGGTCATGGGGGAGGAAGGCCTCCAAGGCCTCTGCTCACCCCGTCCCTTCCCCCTCCCCAGCCACCACAGGCAGCGACCCCAGTTTGTCTCCAGATTCCCAAGATCCGTCGCAGGACGACGCCAAGGACTCGGAGAGCGCCAATGTGTCCGACAAGGAAGGGGGCAGTAACGAGAATGACGACCAGAACCTGGGGGCCAAGCGGCGAGGGCCGCGCACCACGATCAAAGCCAAGCAGCTGGAGACGCTGAAGGCCGCCTTCGCCGCTACGCCCAAGCCCACGCGCCACATCCGCGAGCAGCTGGCGCAGGAGACTGGCCTCAACATGCGCGTCATCCAGGTCAGATCCCTGGCTCAGTTCGCTACTGCTTCTCCCAGGGCCCAGAGTCCAGGAGGGGATTGAGCCCGGGGAGGCTGATGGAGGGCCTGGGGAAGGCAGGAGGAACAGACACACCTCCATCCCGCGGGACCTTTGAAACACCTCCTGGAACCTAGAGCGTCCAGAAGTCTCTCTTCTTTTTAGAAGGAACGAGGTGGTAGTGGAGACTGGGGGGCAGAAGGAGGAGGTTGGGATGGAAGTGATTGGGACCTCTCTTTCAGCACAGACTCCATTCCCGGTTAGGAAGAAGCCGCGGTCACGGTGTGCAGCACAGCCTGTTACTCTGGCTTCTGCATAATGTGACCTCTCTTTAAGTCCTGGATCTCAACTTGGTGGGCTGTGCCCCAGGTCACAAGCCCCAGGGCAAAATTCAGGGAATTTTAAGAGGTCTGACTCCTGGAGGGAATGAGGTGGGAAGGCCAGGCTATCTGAAGGGAGCTGGGCTTGTGGGTGTGGAGGGGGTGAAATTGCCTGTGATTCTGGCTGGTAGGAGTCTCTGGCCCAGTGCTAGGTGTCCAGTCCGTGGTGTCTGGAGGGCTCTGCCCGGGTGTGGGTGGCTGTGCCTAGGAGACTGTGTGAATGGGCACGTGTGCTCCGGGGCCCTGAGCGCCAGGCCTCTGGGAGGCTGGGGAACCTGGGCACATAAGTGGGAGGTTGTGCGTCTGTGTCACCACCTGTGAGCAGTGATGGCTAAGTATGTTTGGCGCTGGGAGATTGTGCATGGGTGTGAAAAGGAGATTGTGGGTTTTAGTGTGACTATCCTTGGGAGGCTGAGTGTCACCAGGAGACTTCCTGTGTCTGTGTCACTACCATGAGGGGGCTGCTGCCAGGGCTGGTGAATGGGAAGCAGGGAATGAGAGAGAGAGACAGAGAGACTATTTTGGAGAGGTCTGGTGTTGATGCGTGGACGGCCCTGGAGAAGCTGTATCTTGTGACAGTGTTACTGTTAGGAACAAGAAGGTTACACCCCACCTGCCTCAAGTAGGACAGGACAGCCTGCCCAGGTCTTCTTATCTGTAATTCCACTCATCATTGGTTCAGGGTCCACCCTGTTCATCCTACTCTGAGCGATCTCTCCCCTGAGACACACACACACACACACACACACACACACATACACACACACGCTGAGGCCTGGAGTCAGTGTGAAGGGCTAGGACGCGCCTTGCATCCAGGGCGGGGAGTGGAGTCTCCATGGCCTCACCCCGAGCCATGTGCCATGTGCGCTTCAGGTGTGGTTCCAGAACCGGCGATCCAAGGAAAGGAGGATGAAGCAGCTGAGCGCGCTGGGCGCCCGGCGCCACGCCTTCTTCCGCAGTCCGCGCCGGATGCGGCCGCTGGTGGACCGCCTGGAGCCGGGAGAGCTCATCCCCAACGGACCCTTCTCCTTCTACGGAGGTGGGTGTACAGCCGCGTGGCGGGGCGCAGTTAGGCCGAGTGGGCTTCGTTAAAAGAGGGTGGCAGCGCGGAGGGCGATCCTCGCTTTTCATGGAGAAGGGAGTCAGGGAGGATCGGGCGAAGGCCGGGAGTAATTAAGGCGAGGTGGTGAGATCGAGGACCTAATTTCCGACCTGGAACCGGCGGGTGGGCAGGCTGGGAGCAGCTCCTGCCTGCTCTCAGGCCCGCAGGGGCGCCCCACAACGACTAGTTCCCGGCGCGGTGTCGCCTTCCCCGGCCCACTCGGGCTCCTTCTCGCGCCCGCTGTCCCTTCCGGACCCAGGGCCCGCCCTGACATCCTCCTCCCGCCGCTCCGCAGATTACCAGAGCGAGTACTACGGCCCAGGGGGCAACTACGACTTCTTCCCGCAAGGTCCCCCGTCCTCGCAGGCCCAGACACCGGTGGACCTGCCCTTCGTGCCGTCGTCTGGGCCGTCTGGGACGCCCCTGGGCGGCCTGGAGCACCCGCTGCCGGGACACCACCCTTCGAGTGAGGCGCAGCGGTTCACCGACATCCTGGCGCATCCCCCTGGGGACTCTCCCAGCCCCGAGCCCAGCTTGCCCGGGCCTCTGCACTCCATGTCAGCTGAGGTCTTCGGACCCAGCCCGCCCTTCTCGTCGTTGTCCGTCAATGGCGGGGCGAGCTACGGGAACCACCTGTCCCACCCTCCCGAAATGAACGAGGCGGCCGTGTGGTAGCGGGGTCCTGCACGGTCCTCGGAGTTCGTGGTTGTACAGAAACGAACCATTATTTAAGAAAAATAGAAAAAAGAAAAAAATACATAAAAAGCAAGCTCCCTCTTACTTCCTCCAGCCTCGGGGAACATTCTCCGGATAGGAAAGAGGGACCCAAAATAGGATCCAAATCCACCTCGGGGTGAGACTGGGATCCGCGCACTGGCTGGCAAGGTGCAGAACTGGGGCTCTCAAAGGGAAACAGAGACCTCGCCCCACCTTCCACCTGGACCCGGATCCGTGGACAGACGCCGGGAGCCTGTGCTCCTGGCCACGGGCAGACCACGAAAAGACACCCACAGCTGCCGCGGGCGTGCACTGCCTCTGGTGATACCAGGAGCCGCAGGGAGGGAGGCACCGAGCTGCCGGTGAGGGAGGTGCAGTGGCCGGGCTCTCCGGGTCAGCCAGAAGGGTTCTAGCTCTGGGATATCCGTAATATCAGTGTTGTCCCAGAGTTCTGCAACAGCGACAACGAACTCTTATAGCTTCAGAAACGCCGACCTGCTGTGCATCAGGTGGGACTATATATATATATATATTTTGTCTATCTGGGTTTTTGGTTTTGTTTTTGCCAAAATTGCAAAGTTCTAAATGTAAAGCCCTCAGCATCAACTCTTCTACCTTCACAAAGCTCTATACACACAGAAATGCACACACAGACACACTCCGTAGGATGGTCTCCCGCCAGACCTCTCAGTAAAGTGACTTGAACATCAGCTGTACAAGAAAAGTATTCTACCTTCACACACAAAAAGTTAAAAAAAAAAGACTATTGAACTAAAAACAGTCAACTGTTTACGTATAATGTTAAATTCAGGAGTTCAGTGTTTTACTAATATATCCTGTTTTGAAACCTCTTGTTCAAAAACAAAATGTTTTGAGCAATCAACCAAAATTGTTCCTTTTCTTTTCTGTAGATGTTCTGACAGATTTGCAGGGCTTGCGGCTCACTGTGCTAGTATGTGAAAAGGTGTTGTTTACAAGAGGCAAAGAGAAAACATGATATTCAGACAGTTGCCAAATAGAATAATTATAGCACAAATACTGTAAAGGTGCCTGGCACCAGCAACCTGAGAAAGTGTTAAAAAAAAAAAAAGTGTTACAAGGTTAATAAAAAAAAAGACATCTTTGCTAATTTTTAGTCCTGTTGAACATTCATGGAATTGTTAATATGACTTATATAGACCCACACAGGTTTTATTTTTGTGTCTTTAAAATAAAAGTCCAAAATATTTAAATTTTATGGTCAAATATGCAGTCAACAGCTGCTACTTTTTTCTTTATATATTAAATTTCTCATATGTCTTTTATTGTTCTAATAAACCTAAGCTTGTGTGACCTCCAGTGCATATTAGACCATTCACTGTATGAAAGAAAACATGTTGAATAAATTTGTGAGTTTTTAATAAAAATAGAAAATCTGATGTTTAGATAATTGGTGTGTTATTTGATGTTTTCAGCAACTAGAGGGGAGCCCTGATGGGGGCTCAATGGGTCCTCAGAAACCTGGACACACACACAGAGATGCAGGATTGGGATAGTGTATTCGTTTTTTTTGTTGTTGTTGTTGGGTTTTTTGTTTTTGTTTTTTTTTGCCTGGGCTGTGACTGAACCCTGTGCTATTACTGCCAGCCAAGCTTTTCTCCGTGGCTTCCTGCTGTTGTTAACTACAGATTTGCATTCTATGGGTTTTACTGATACAGTTGAAGAGATATTTGCTGATAAGTTAATATAGAATTTGAAATAGAAACCCCCATGGCTAAAAATGAGTGGTCCCGGTCCATGATTAGACATGAGATCCGAACTGCTTTCTCCTCTCCCCTGCACATGCAAAACTGGGCTTGTGAATGTCAGATGCTCCTAAATACATAGTTAAAGGTGATTCTTTACCGTGTCAATTCATTATCCTTAGATAATCCTGCTTTCTAATTTGGTGGTTTGAAAGATAATGTAAAATGAATGTACAGTACAGCTAGAAGTGAAATACTTTAATCCCTTTCACAGAACTGATATGAAATTGTTGTTTTATATTATTTGTTACATTTGAAGTTCCCCAGCAAAACTCTTGCCTGATGCAAGGTACATAATAAGTTTTTTCTGAAAGATTAACAAAAAGAAGTAATAGAGAAATCAAACTTCAACTGGGAATTGCCAACAGGTTCTGAAAAGTAGTGCATTGCCTTCCTAGCCTTCACTAGACATGGAAAAGATTGAAATATTTTATCCACTATGACATACTCGCATGGGTGTATGCGTGTGTTTTAATATCAGATGCTGTTGGAGTTTGGAATTCCTTTTTCATTTCACATAGATTTCAGTCTGTATTATTTATTTCCTTATTTTTTAAAAAAATCAAAGGTTTTACATTAAATGGCAAGTAATTTCCAGTGCTGTTTTCATATTTTGTTAAGACATAGCCAAGTTTCTCTTTCCTGCAGAGATTTTAACATATGCAATATTTCACTGCATGCATTTGATGGCTTATCTAGGGAGGGAGGCTATCAGGCAAAAATCTGGCAGTATTCTTTTAGAAATAAAAGTTTATGAAATACAAGGGAGACTTTTGAAACTCCTCTACATAGGACCATTTCTTTATCTTCTTTGCAGACAATCATTGAATCGGCTTGTTTTTTTTTTTTTTTTTTTTTTTGCCTTTTTAGCATTTATGCACATTAAATCATAGCTAACTGATTCATTATTGCCACCACCCCTTACCCCTCTTTAAAGATATTCATTTAACTGAACGTATGTTCCATTGGGAAGCTGCATTTTCCTATCAAGTCTCCTGAATTATTTAGCAGCTTTATTGTGGAATCGGGGTATTTGATAAGAAGCGAAAAGAGTTGGGCAGTTTCCCCTCCGCGCAACATTCTGAACCCTGGCGAACGCGGGAACAGGTGGCACCATTCGGCGGTCAAATTTGGAGAGAAGGCCCCCGGGAGGTGCAAGTCTCCCAGGGCCAGGAACTGGTCCCCTTCCCACCTAAGCGGCGCCGCCCGGGGCACTGGGATGTAGGTAAGCGCGGCACCATCACCACAAGGACGACTGCTGGGAGAAGCGCTCGCGGGGGCAGCCGGCAGGGAAGCACCCCGCCGTCCCCTCTCGACCGGGAGGCCAGCCTCCTCTCTGGCCAGGCTTGGCAGCTTGGTCTTTCCCCGCGGCCATCTTAAAGCCGCCACCTCGGTGCCTCCCGCCACCTGCCCTCAGGGTTCCAGCGGCGGGGAGCTGCCATCTGCAAGGACAGCTGAGGGAACTGAAGATCACCCACCCAACTTCTGGCCTGCAGAGGCTGGGGGCAGGGGTGCCGCCTTTGGGAGGAGACAAAGGAGGGAGGCTGGGACCTGAGGTTTTCAGAGACAGGTCTAAACCTGGGTGCCCTACACTCTGGAAATTTTCAGTGAAGTGAACAGTTGTTTGGGACAACTGGAGGTGGTGGTCTTATGTACCCCTGCCCACCTTCTGCTCTCCTTCATCCCCCTGCCACCATGCAGCCCCTAGAGAGCAGGCAGATGGACTGGGAACCTGAGGATCACCCAGCCTTCCCTGGAGAGGACTGCTTACCTTTAGTCTCAGCTCCCTGCTCCTCTCATCAGCTCTCCTCTCTGTACAGAGCTATACTTCTTCCAGGGTGTTGCAGTTTTTGAAATATCCCATCCTAGTCCACCCTCCACTTCCACCTCCACCTCCATTCCAATCCCCAAGAGGAAGCACCTTCCCCCTCATCACAAGAAACTATAATAGAGCGCAAGCAGGGAGACTCAACTTCTCTCAGTTGCATCTTTATTTTTTAAGATTTTATTTAACTTTATTTATTATTATTTCATTATTATTTTTCAGTTTGATCAGAGAGAGACAGAGAGAGAGAAGAAGTGAGAAAGCAAGCCACCAGGTCCGAGACTTGAACCGTGGTCGGCCATGTGGGAGTCCAGCACCTTTAACCACCAAGCCACTTGCTGGCCCTCTCAGTTGCATCTTTTTTTTTTTTTAAAGAATTATTTTTATTTAACTTTATTATTATCATTATTATTTTCCAGTTTGATCCGAGAGAGAGAGAGGAAGTGAGCAAGCAAGCCACCAGGTCCGAGACTTGAACCATGGTTGGCCATGTGGGAGTCCAGCGCCTTTAACCACCATGCCACTTGCCGGCCCCCTCAGTTGCATCTTAAGTCTTAAAGTTCTCTTCTCTTTCCTCCACTCCTAGAGTCCTCTTCCACCTTCATGGGGGCAAGGAGGCAGAGGAAACATCTTGGTTGGGAGCCCTGGGATGTGTGTGACAAAAGTAGCCTATAGGAGTGGCATGGTCTTGATTTCTTCCTAAAAGGGCTTCCCATGTTAGTGCGGACCAGGACAGGGAAGGGAGAATAGGGAAGAGGTCTATGGCATTTTCTGCTTGAGGGTTTGCCCAGCACCGCTCCAAATCTGCCAGCAATGTTCTATTGGCATGATAGCTAGAGGTAGTCTCTTCCCACCCTGACCTCCCTCTCCCTTTTCTCCCTTCTCTTTAAAGACCATGTTTCTAAGCTCTATCCGTGCCCAAAATAGCAAGGGGAAAAGATGGGAGGGGGGTCCTAAATGTGGTGTGGGAGAAACATTTTTGTCCTTTGGAGCTAGGCAAAGACCTTCTCCAGGTCTAGAACAAACTGGCTCTGGAGGTCCAGATGAAGCCACCCAACTATAATGATAAGATATGCTTTAAAACAAAAAGAAAAAAAAAAAACTTGTTCTCTGGTACTGAGTTCTCTTATGGATTATGAAAAGCAGTTTTCCATACCTGAATTCACTGTCTAAGCTGGCATTCTTTCCTTTCCCACGTCTGAGCGGGTTTACTCTAATGCAAGGTCTCCTTCCCTTCTGCAGCCCTGCTGGTCTTCATTCTTCAGAAGCCACCTATGATGGGGACATGGGCAAGGCCACACTCCAGTGCTATCCTCTCACTGCTCTTGACCACGAGGTCATATGAAGATTGTAAAAGTTGTGGGCCCTTTCTTCTTTTTCTCTCTTTTTTTCTTTTTCTTTTTCTTTTTTTTTGGAGAGTTTTTTGCTATAGGGCGCGTGGGCTCGCCAGAAAGACAGAGAGGCAGAAAGACAAAAAGTGAAAAATCACCCCCCAGAATTCAAGCAGCTAGATCCGGGACTCAAACTGTGGTCAACTACGTGGGAATCTAGCGACATAGCCATTATGCTAACTGCTGGTCCCTGGACCCCTTTTTGTGTTGGGTTCCACAGAAGACACTGGGGAGCCAAGGTTTCCCAGGTTGTTCAAATGTGGGATCCAACTTTGCTTCGGCTATATCCATCCAATAAGGGGCACCACCACAGTGTACCACCAATGTCTCTTTTCTTGATCCTTCTGAGGCTGTTTCTGTTGAGAGTGTTCTAGGTATCTATAAGTGCCCTCCAACAGATAACTGGAAGGATAGGCCACAATGTACTGCCACTTATCATCCCTTATTGCAGTTTCTGTTTCCATATTTGCCTGCCCCCTAGGGCTGATCGTGGTCAAAGAATCTAACTTACTCATCTTGCATCCCATCTAGCAGTGCCTGCCACAGAGTGGGCAGTTAGGGAATGCTAGACAAGGAAAGAGAATGTAAAGAGGATATACTAAGTGCAATTTAAATTTATCCTATTTTTATGTTTTAAGCCTACCCCTCTAAAAGGTAGACCTAAATTTGTCTGCATTTATTCAGCAGTTTCAGGAGATGAGAATGCCTCCACCTCTAACAGCAAAAATAACAATTCCGAGAGGTGTTCGATGGAGTAATCCCCACCCACTTTTCTCTGTTCAGGAGAGGCTACTTGGAGAAGCTACAGAAATGATCTTGGGGCTGGCAGGTGACATGGTGGTTAAAGGTGCTGGACTCCCTTATGGCCGACCGCGGTTCAAGTCCTAGAACTGGTGGCTTGCTTTCTCACTTTCCCTCTGTCTCTTTCTCTGTCTCTCTCTGATCACATTGTAAAATAATAATAATAATAAAGTTAAATAGAATAATTCTTTTAAAAATTATCTGTATTTATGCACATAGTGATTCTTAATCATTCCTATTAATAAAGACACCAGAATTCCGTGGTACACTTACACACGCACACTCTAGAGGTCAGGCCGCCAGAGTGAGGGGGCAAGGAGCAAGAGCCCTGTGTCCTGCCCCAAACTCCTCAAAACTGTGAAATGCCAAACTTATTTTGGGTGCCAGTTTAGGCGTGAGCACCCACGGTTTGAGAAGCTTACTCTTTACTCCTCTCTCCCTCCCAGATCAGCTACCGTGGGCCATAGGTGTAACCTATGATGGGGACATGGGCAAGGCCACACTCCAGTGCTATCCTCTCACTGCTCTTGACCACGAGGTCATATGAAGATTGTAAAAGTTGTGGGCCCTTTCTTCTTTTTCTCTCTTTTTTTCTTTTTCTTTTTCTTTTTTTTTGGAGAGTTTTTTGCTATAGGGCGCGTGGGCTCGCCAGAAAGACAGAGAGGCAGAAAGACAAAAAGTGAAAAATCACCCCCCAGAATTCAAGCAGCTAGATCCGGGACTCAAACTGTGGTCAACTACGTGGGAATCTAGCGACATAGCCATTATGCTAACTGCTGGTCCCTGGACCCCTTTTTGTGTTGGGTTCCACAGAAGACACTGGGGAGCCAAGGTTTCCCAGGTTGTTCAAATGTGGGATCCAACTTTGCTTCGGCTATATCCATCCAATAAGGGGCACCACCACAGTGTACCACCAATGTCTCTTTTCTTGATCCTTCTGAGGCTGTTTCTGTTGAGAGTGTTCTAGGTATCTATAAGTGCCCTCCAACAGATAACTGGAAGGATAGGCCACAATGTACTGCCACTTATCATCCCTTATTGCAGTTTCTGTTTCCATATTTGCCTGCCCCCTAGGGCTGATCGTGGTCAAAGAATCTAACTTACTCATCTTGCATCCCATCTAGCAGTGCCTGCCACAGAGTGGGCAGTTAGGGAATGCTAGACAAGGAAAGAGAATGTAAAGAGGATATACTAAGTGCAATTTAAATTTATCCTATTTTTATGTTTTAAGCCTACCCCTCTAAAGGTAGACCTAAATTTGTCTGCATTTGTTCAGCAGTTTCAGGAGATGAGAATGCCTCCACCTCTAACAGCAAAACTCACAATTCTGAGAGGTGTTCGATGGAGTAATCCCCACCCACTTTTCTCTGTTCAGGAGAGGCTACTTGGAGAAGCTACAGAAATGATCTTGGGGCTGGCAGGTGACATGGTGGTTAAAGGTGCTGGACTCCCTTATGGCCGACCGCGGTTCAAGTCCTAGAACTGGTGGCTTGCTTTCTCACTTTCCCTCTGTCTCTTTCTCTGTCTCTCTCTGATCACATTGTAAAATAATAATAATAATAAAGTTAAATAGAATAATTCTTTTAAAAATTATCTGTATTTATGCACATAGTGATTCTTAATCATTCCTATTAATAAAGACACCAGAATTCCGTGGTACACTTACACACGCACACTCTAGAAGTCAGGCCGCCAGAGTGCGGGGGCAAGGAGCAAGAGCCCTGTGTCCTGCCCCAAACTCCTCAAAACTGTGAAATGCCAAACTTATTTTGGGTGCCAGTTTAGGCGTGAGTTTAGGGTTTGAGAAGCTTACTCTTTACTCCTCTCTCCCTCCCAGATCAGCTACCGTGGGCCATAGGTGTATGTTTTATTCCTGAACTAACCTCCCAATCTTGACGCAAACAGACAAGAGCCGAACGCCTCCAAACCAGCGATCGGCTGCGGAGGCGGTCACGTGCTCGTGCGCGCTCCCGCGCCGCCCAACACACGCCCTCGACGCACGCGTTCACGCATTCGGATGGCGACGCCTCTCCAGCCTTCCGCGCGCTTCCGCCGGGATCCTAGCAACGCCCGTAGTGACGGGGCTGGCCCCGCCCTCTCGCGCGCGCCTCCCGGAAGTTGCCAGCCTCGGAGCTGAGGCTCGGGCTCCGCGCGGTCCCAGGCGGTCTCGCGGGCCAGTGTCTGCCTGGAGGATCTTCCCGAGAGGAAGCGTCCGGGCCGCGGTTTGGGCTGCGCGTTCCCGTGGGCGTCTCGGACCCAGGCTGGGCGGCGATGGCGGGGCCTCTGGGGCTGCAGCTGGAGCAGCTGTTGAACCCGAGACCGCGCGAGGCGGATCCTGAGGCGGACCCGGAGGACGGTGAGGCCTGACTGGGGCAGGCCACGTGCGGGACGCTGGGCTCGACCTCCGGCTGGCCGAGGGCGCCGGGCCGCGCCGCCGGCCTACTCTCCGTCCCCTCGCGCGGTGGAAAATCGCCTGTAGCGAGGGCCTTGTGGCTGGGGATAGGGCTTAGGACTCTTCTCACACCACTCCGCACGGGTGCTCTGCAGGGCGGGTGGGATATACCGAGGCCGGAGCTGGTCTTTGAATGAACTGGGTCGAGGGTTGCTGGAGGAAGCCAGAGCCTGGTAGCAGGTTGGCAGTTATCTTGAAAGATGCCCTTACTGGTATTTGCGTGAGAAAGAGGGGGAGTGAGCCTCAGGTCTTGGCGTTGCTGTTGCTTTAAACTCCACAAGCCCTCAGAACTAGCCTGGAGAACGAAGAAGTAGGATTCCCCGGCGCTGTTTAAAGCCTCTTTAGGTCTCAAGACGCTTGCTCCAGGGCTGACGACGTCTGAGGCTGCTGCTCTGTAAGCTGATGTTCAGGGTCTAGCTGGGAGTAATCCTGCCTTAGACTGGAATCTGAGAAGTGTGAGGAAGGGAGAATAAGGAGGGATAAATGTGAGTGCCCAACCGTGTCTTAGGAATATCCGTTGAAGAAACTGGGGACTGTTTAGCCAGGATAAGAGAAGAAAACTCCCTGAGGGATGGAAGAGAGTGAGCATGGCACAGGATGGCTGATTTAAGATACTGGAGCGACTGTCACACACGGAAGAGAAGCAACACAAGTTTTATATGATCCAAAGCGTAGAAATATGTCCCGCTGGTAGATGTGGGAGTCAGCTCTCTGTTCAGAAACGGAAATAAGGTAGTGTTCTGCCTTGGAAGTGAACGAGTTCCCTCTTCCAAGAAGTTGATGGGGAATTTGTAGAAGACATCAAGTATGAATTAGAAGAGTCGAACAGGGTTTCCAAAGTTCTTTCTAACCTGGAAATTCTGATTTCTTATCCCCCTTTCCCACAGCCACTGCTGCCAGAGTGATTGACAGGTTTGATGAAGGGGAAGATGGGGAAGATGACTGCCTGGCAGTAGGTAGTATTAGAAAACTGGCATCGGCCTCCCTCTTGGACACAGACGAAAGGTATTTGGGCAAGGCCACCTCTAGAAAAGCTTTGAAAGAAGATGATTGGGAGCAGAGTCTACCAGGTTCATTCCGTGAGTAGAACGTTTGTACATGCAGTTTGTCTTCCCTACTTTTTGTGTTAAAATCCCTTTTATTTTATTTTTTGAATGATCTCCCCAAGGTTACTTTGTGTCTCTACCTATTATCTTAGAAGACCCATTGGTTTGGCATTAGGAAGGGCCTTAGAGTTTACTTTGTTTCACTTCATCAGAATTCCAAAGCACAGAGCCATTAGGTTGCTGTAGCCCTTATTTCAGACTAATGGTTTTCCCTAAAGTGGAGCAAAAGAACAGGCAATACCTGTTGGATATTGGAGAGGGCTGTGTGTTGAAAAAGTATTATATGTGATGAACATGCTACTTTTAAATTTTTGACCCTTTTCCTTCAGTGTTTCAGGTCTTGAGTCACTGTTGATCTCATATTTTGCTTTGATAGAAGTAACATAATTCTTCCCTTGTCTCTGCAAGAGTTAGGACAATGTGAGCTTATGGTTTGAAAGAACTGTAAATTGCTCTGAATGGAAAAGGGGCAGTCCGTGGTGATTATTGAGAGAAATGTCACTTGTTTTCCTTCAGCAATATCATAGATGCTACACTGAGGACCCATAGAAATATCAAAGGAACCATCATTCAGGTTATGATATCTGGGACTTAGTTTTTGATGTAGTTCTGGGAGCTCCTGATAAGCTCATTTCATATTCTTTGCCTAGAGACTGATAAAGGGACCAGCCATGAGACAAATATAATATGTATTGAACTCTCACTGTGTGTCGGGCACAGGCACTGTGGTTAGTTCTCTAAATTCTAAGAGTCTGAGATACAGGAAGTTCTCCAAAAAATGTTATTACCATTATCATTACATATATCATTTCTCTAATCCTCCCAGTAGCACAAGAGGTTGGTATTATCCCCATTTTATAGATAAGGAAGTTAAGGAGCAAATTGGTTAAGTAACTTACTCAAGGTCACACAGCTAGTAAGTGGGAGATATAGGATCTGTATGGAGGTATTCTGACACCAAGATATATGCCCTTAACTACTACTCTGTGTGAATGTTTCTTAATCTGAGAAATGACCACATATTTAAAACATTTAAAAGATTATTTTTGTTTACTATTTTTGTATGTAAATTTTATATTTTACATTTCTGTATACCTCTGTAAAGAAGTATTAAAGACCCAGCATGTTTCCAAAATTTTTTACTTTATGTAAGGTTATTGGTAACTTGTTCCTGTATCTAATAATCAGGTTTGCTATACATGGGGCTTTAGGTTCTAGAATATAGATTGATAAGCAGTAAACATTTCTAAGTATCAGGTGATACCCTAACCATGAGTAAAACCAGGAGTTATAACTGGCACTTCACCTACTATAGGATCAGTCTTTCCCATAGGAAACAAAAACCTTTACTGAATTAAAAAAAAATTTAATTAATTTATTTTAAGTTTTTTACTATCAGGTATGTGTACTCACTGGCGTGAGACAGGAAAAGAGAGACATGGAAAGTGAGGAATCACCCCTCAGGATGACCATGCCACAGTCCCTTCTCCATTCTCCTCTTGGGATTTTGGGCATGCACACACACGTGCCTGGTGTGTTTTTCAAGCTGCCAGTCTGGGACTCCAACCACTTATTTAGTCATATGGGATCTAGCTGCCTTAACCTCCATGCCACCTCCTAGCCCCACCCTTCTTGATTTTATTGCTGGTCAACACTCTAGGCTCGTGTTTTACTGCTTTTCATATATATTCTGTACCCTAGTGATGTATCCTCTTTTTTCTTCCCCCTTCTCTGTCTAATGAGCTGTTTCTTTACTTTTTCTTTTTTTAAAGAATTATTTATTTATTGTTTATTTTTTATTCCATTTGTTGTTATTTTTTAATTTGACCAGAGAGAGACAGAGAGAAAGTGAGAAAGCAAGCTACCAGGTCCGGGACTCAAACTGCAGTCAACCATGTAGGAATCCAGTGTCTTTAATCACCACACCACTTGCTGGCCTGTTCCTTTCCTTTTTTTTTTTTTTTTTTTTTTTTTTTTTTGAGTGTTTTTCTTCGGGGGCGCGGGTTCGCTCTACAGAGAGACAGAAAACGAGAAATCACCCCCCAGGGGGGATGGCCGCACTGCAGTCCTTTCTCTTTCATTCTCCTCTCAGGATCTTGAGCATGCACGCAGATGCGCCCGGTGCGAGTTTAAGCTACTGGGTCCAGGACTCAAACCTTGGTTGACTACATGGGAGTCCAGTAACATAGCCATTACGCCAACTTCTGGTCCCTGTTCCTTTACTTTTTAAGTAAAATTATAATGTCTCCTTCCCCACCTAAAGCCATCCCTCACCTTTCCAGGGAAGTTAAGTGTTTACTTCCCTATATGGAGTTGTACCACTGACATTGTGATATAATTATCTGTATGCATATCTGCCTCCATCAGACTATAATCTTCTCACAGGTACTAAAATCTGTTTGTCTTTCCTTACCCCGTATCTATGCCTAACTTGCAATGGGTACTTAATGAGTATTTAATAAACAGGGTACACTGGTGTGATAGTGTGCATTTGGGATAGTTAATGATATACTGTCTATTTTCAGATGCGGGTTTGGGAAAACTGGTAATCCCCAAACACCAGTTGAAATTTTAACCATTCTTCAAGGTCCAGACAAATGCCATCTCTTCCTTAGAGGCTTACATAAGTTTATTTGCCACACAGTTAAAATGTCGCCCTCCTCGGTATTATTGAAATTTTGTCAAAGTGCTTTTAATTCTTCTCATGTTATAGTTTTCCCACCAGAATGTTGTGTTTAGAATAGGACCCATGTTCTTGAAATCTTGACTTTCTCTTAGCATTTTAGAGATAGTAGATGTGTAATAAATACTTGTTGAATTGAAATGAATAAATAATATATTCTCCCTCCTGACCTGCCCCCCTATAAATACCCTTTAGTCAAAGTGAAATATATGGCCCGGTATTTTTGTCCTTGTAATGCCCATTTTTTCTCCTCCCTTCTTGTTCAGACAGGGAAGTATCTGAAGAGGAAGGATCTGGAGATGAAGATTCAGAGGGACTGGGTCTGGAGGAGTCAGAAGAGGATGACCTGAGTGCTGCTGAGGAGCAGGAGTGTGGAGATGATGAGGACAGCAGTCTAGCCTGGAGAAAGAGCAGAAGGCGCTCTGCAAAAACACCAGGCTTCAGTGTCCAGAGCATCAGTGACTTTGAGAAATTCACTGAGGGAATGGATGACCTGGGGAGCAGTGAGGAGGAAGATGAAGAGGAAGAGAGTGGCATGGAAGAAGGGGATGCGGAGGAAGATGTGGAGGATGAGAGTGAAGAAGAAAGGGCTGGAGACAAGAACAGTGAAGACGACGGCGTGGTGATGACCTTTTCCAGTGTCCAAGTTTCTGAGGAAGTGGAGAAAGGAAGGGCTGTGAAGAATCAGATAGGTTTGTATATAGTTTGTGTGTGTGTGTGTGTGTGTGTGTACACATTTAGTTTTATTGTAACAAAGCAACTTGTACACTTTTAACATTTTAAACTGAGCATCTTTCCTTTCCAGTGAAACAAAAAGAAAGTTTAAAAATAAACAGGAACAGAATTACAATAGAGAATGTCAACTCCAAATAAGATCCTACAGGTTCTGCTGATTCTCCCATTGAGTGCAGGGCTCAAGTCATCATTAGGAGAGTATCTTATTTTTAAAAGTGTCATCTTAATGGGCCCAGCAGTTGGTGTAATGGCTATGTTGCTGGACTTCCATGTAGTTGACTGTGGTTTGAGTCCCGGACCCGGTGGCTTAAACTCACGTCGGGCCCGTGTGCGTGCGTGCCCAAGATCCCAAAAGGAGAATGGAGGAGAAGGGATTGCAGGATGGCCATCCCCCTGGGGGTGATTTCTTGTTTTCTGTCTCTCTGGCTCTGTCTTTCTGGTGAGCACACGTGCTCTATAGCAAAAACCTCTCCAAAAAAAAAAAAAAGTGTCATCTTAAACTGTAAGGATGTCTGTTATACATCATAGTTAAGCATGCCGAAGGATAATCCATGTTGTCAAAATGCCCACTTAACCCACCCAAACATCTCAAACCCAGCCTTTGCTGACCTTCTATAGCATTTTTAAAAGTTTTTATTCTTTTTTTAAACAAGAGAAAGTAGACAGATACATGTTGGTAAATGCTAACTGTCCATATTCACATAGAGACACAGTGTAATCTCTGAGCCCAGTATGTATATAGTTTTGCCGATTGCTTATTTTTCAGAGGATCTGCATTTGGTCTACTTTTTACTTATTTGTTTTTGGCCATTTGTCTCTCCTGTGTCCTTCCAATTAGTTTGTGACATGCCCTACTTACCTAGAGGCCTAAAGCCCTGTGCCTCTATGCTTAGCCAGCTATTTCTACACTGAGCTGCTTAGCTTGTTCTGCTCTGGTACTTCAGCAACTGGAAGACTGGCCTTTAGCATTCCCTCTCTCAAGTCTCAAATATTTGCTTCTCAGATTCTGAATTTATTTTCTATAATAGTGTTTCTATGGCATGAAACTGATAAAGATGTGCTACTTAGAAACTGTTGTGGTTTCTTTTTTCTTTTTAATTTGTTACAGAGCACTTGTATTGCCAGTGACAGAGAGAGGGAAAGTAAGAGAGTATCCGCCAGGAGGATGACCAGATGACCACACTGTAGTCCCTTTTCCTCCATTCTCCTCGCGGGATCTTGGGCTCATATGCTCATATGTCCAGCATGTTTTCCTTTTCTTTATTTTTCTTTTTTTAAAGAATTATTTATTTAATTCCATTTGTTGTTATTATTTTTAAAATTTGACCAGAGAGAGAGAAAGAGAACGTGAGAAAACAAGCCGCCAGGTCAGAGACTCAAACCGTGGTCACCCATGTGGGAATCCAGCACCTTTAAGCACCATACCACCTGCTGGCCCCGCAGCATGTTTTTCAAACTACTGGGTCCAAGACTTGAACTGCACAGTTGGCTATGAGGTACCCGGCTGCGTTAACCACCATGCCACCTGACTAGCCCTCTTTTTTTCTTTCTCTCTTTTTTTAATTTACTAAGGGTCTATGCTCTTGACATGGAGGGCAAAAGTTAGAGAGTACTCCCCCCGTGGGGCATGGTCACACCAGTCTCTTCTCCATTTCTCCCTCCTTTCATGGTTTTGGGCATGCATGTACTGTGCCTGGCATGTTTTTCAAGCTCTTGAATCTGGGATCTAACTTCCTAAAACCACCAGGCATGGATTGACCTTGTTGTGGTTTCTTTTTCCTTCCCTACTCCCCACCACAGGAAGATTTTATAAATTATGGATAAGATTGTCTTTTCTTCTTTTTCAGCACTGTGGGATCAGCTCCTGGAAGGAAGGATCAAACTACAAAAAGCTCTGTTGACCACTAATCAACTTCCTCAACCAGATGTTTTCCCTGTTTTCAAGGATAAAGGTGGCCCAGAATTCGCCAGTGCCTTGAAAAATAGTAAGAATACTTAAGTCATATGGGGATACATAGAACCATTAAAATACATTGGAATTGATTTAAATGAAGAGGAGATTTGATTTTAGTAATATGGTATAGAATAGTGGTTTCAACTATTTTGAAAAATAGCGTATAACTCTTATCAAGTGGAGACAACTTTGATTGAAATTGATTGAATGCTTGAGCCATGTCAATTCCTTTTTCTTCTCACCTGCCCTCACTTTCCTCTCTCACCTCACATTGGCTTTCTCTCTCTCTCTCTCTCTCTCTGTGTGTGTGTGTGTGTGTGTGTGTTTTAGTGGAAAGGTTGAGAAAAGAAGAGATGGACATTTTTGACAGCATCCAGTCCTTACTATTCTTTGCCTCAGGTTCCTAATCAGCCAGGATATGACATGTGCTGCTTGCATGCTTGGCCTGTTTAGATTGGTTCAAGATCTGAACCCAGGCCTCCCATGTGGTCCCAACCTCATGCAGTGGTGCCGTACCATCTGCATCACCATAGCTGGGCCCTGAGTTATTTTTAATGCTTAAGAAACACTATTTGAAAACCCACTGGTACAAAACAAAAGAGAGAGAATGAAAGACTAAAATTCAGTTCATTTAAGTTGGTCCTGCCATGTGCTTAAAAGATACCTTCCTCTTTTGAGAGAGGCTTTTAGAACAGTAAGAAAGGAAGATCTTCATGAACATCTTCCTATGGGTGGCATAGAATAAGGAAAGATGTCTTCAGTGGCAAGAACTAGTTTTGGAAGACAGTTGCTGAGCTATAAAGTCAAGGAGTTCTTGAATAGAAAAGGAGTTTAGTGATTATTTGGTTCCCAATCCCCTCATTTTACAGAGGATACAACTGGAGCCCAGAGAGGATGAATGACTTGCCCAGAGTCAAGCTCCAGCTTTTCTGCCTTATAATCTTGGAGTCTTCTGCACCACACTGCTTCCTGTGTGCTGCATGCCTTTGTGCCCAGTGGCTCCAAAGGACTGGGCAGAGGGAGATTTGGGGTGAGTGCCCTGTGGTTGAAATCACTTTGCCTTCTGTGCATACTGTGGCTTAGTGTTTTCATTTGCCCTGTAAAACTTAGAGTATTTGGGCCAGCAGGAGGTGTGGTGGTTTATGCACTAGACTCCCACATGGCCAACCATAGTTTGAGTCCTGGCAACTTGCTTTCTTACTTCCTTTCTGTCTCTCTATGTTGCGTGCACATGCCCTATAGAGAATTTTAAAAAAGGTGATGTTAAAGAAAATTAAATAATTTTAAAAAACCCTAGAATGTCATGGAGTTAGAGTTAGATGAGACCCTATGAGGCTATCTCATTTGGCATCTGACTCTTGGCAGGATCATCTCACACCATTCAAGGTAAATGTATAGGATATCTAAGGTACAGAATTTTGTGAGCATTTCTTGGAGGAGAATCCTTGGTTTAATTAGAAATGACCTCGTAGGATGTAATTTTTAGGTTTTGTGTCTTGCCATATGTGAAGTCTGTTTCCGATTTCCTAAAAAGTCTGGCCAGTCCTTCCAGAAACTGCAAATACTATAAAGGTGATCTTTTATACCCTCTCTACCAACTTCTTTCTCCCTTAAAAAGATGATAAATGAACAGTTTTCTCATTTTTTGAGACTTTAGAATACTTCTCTACTCTATGTTTGTTTGTTTAGCTTTTTGCAATAGGGTGCATGCATTTTCCAGAAAGGGACAGACAGAGAAATCACCCCCCCAGGTGGATGGCTATGCCACAGTTCCTTTTTTTCCAATATCCTTGGAATTTTGGGCACATATGCACATGTGCCAGGCATGATTGTCAAGCTGCCTGTTCTGGGACTCAAACTGTACAGTCAGCTCTATGGGATTGGTGCCACTGACTGACCCCATTCTCTGTTATTTTTAATGCCCTAATACTGTAATTCTTGGTATGTCTGTAGATGAGACCTAGACTGCTCAAGAGTAAATGACTTAAATGTTTCACAGCAAGACCTTTTCATTTTGTTACTTATCATTCCTCTTGAGTCTTCCTTTTTCTTTTTTCTTTTTAGTTTTCAGAGGGTACATGTATTTACATGTAGAGACAGAGACAGAGAGAGGGGGAGAGGGAGAAAGCAGTCCCTCAGGTGTCTGGGTCTCACTGCCGAACCTTCTCCTCTCTTTCTCCCTCCTGTTGGAATTTTGGGCGTGTACTCAAACCAGCTTGTTTTTCAAGCCACTGGGGCTGGGGATTCAAACTAAAGTTGGCCATGCACCTTTCTTTTTTTTTTACTTTTTTTTTTTTTTTGAGAGTTTTTTTGCTGTATGGCGCGTGTGCTCGCCAGAAAGAAAGAGACAGAGAGATAGAAAGTGAGAAATCAACCCCCAGGGGGGATGGCCACGCTGCAATCCCTTTTCCATTCTCCTCTCGGGATCCTGGGCACGCACACACACGTGCTCGGTGTGAGTTTAAGCCACCGGGTCTGGAACTTGAACCACAGTTGACTACATGGGAGTCCAGCAACATAGCCATTACGCTAACTGCTGGTCCCTGATCCGTCTTTCTTAACCAGAGGTTCTAGGACCAGTTCTCCACTTGAGGGAATAGGAGGAGAGACAGATTAGTAGTAGTAGTTGTTTTTTTATCCAGGCTTAATTCCCTTTATTTTTCTTATGTGAAAACTTGCTATTGTGACTAGAGCCTGGTTCCTCTGCACAGAGACTCTGGTGTGAGTCTTAGCGAGATGAGAGAAATGTTTTTGACAGAGTCTTGCCTTGTCATAATCCTCTTGCCCCAGCTTTCCAGTTAGCTAGCATCACGGGTGCCACTGCACCTGGCATGTTTAGGTTAGACTAGGAATTGAACCCAGGCCTCCCATGTATCTTCATCCACTGCATAATGGTGTCCTTCCACTTGTCCCACTGTGGCTGGGCCCCATTTTCTTTTTTAAAATTCATCTTAAAATGTAGATATTGTAAGAGCATCATTTTTAAGAACACAGTTTTGTTCTTAGATACCATTTAGTTTCTTTGCTACCATTTTAATGTTATTTAACTTTTATTTTACCATGGTGCTGATCTTTTTAATTTGCCTTTTTATGTACTTAACCATTTGCCTCTTTGCCTTCTTGGTGATCTTCAGTTAATCTGACAGATGTCTATTAGTCTGATAGGGTAGATTGTGGTGGAAGAGGGAGAAGAAAGAAATGTTTGTTTGTATCCAGTATTTTAAAATGGGAGGGAAGGGAGTTCTCTACTAACAACAATTTCTGTGCATCTGAAGGGCAGCTAATTTGTTTCAGCCTTCACATGGCAGTGTGACATATTATGTTGTATACTTCCCTGTCTTGGTAGACAGTTTAAGAAAAATTTCTTGGCTGTATTACTCTGGATGACCAATTTATACTGTGCTATCTAGTGGTGTGGAACGTAGACTAAATTTGCACCAACCCCAGACTAAACACTGGAACTTATTGTCTTTAATTAAATCTCTTTTCAATTTGCTTGGTTGTACAAGAACAGTTAAAGTCATACTGCCTGAGTTTAGATTTCATCTCAGCAATGGATTAGCGATGTGACCTTGGGCAAGTGACTTAACTTCACAGTAAAATGGGATAATATGGTTGTGAGGATTAAAGGACAGAATCGATATAAAGCATTAGCACAGTGTCTGGCACATATCACGACATACATGCGAGGTACTGTTACCTTTTTCTGCTAAAAGTGGCATTTGACAATGTTGAATGATTGTCATCAGTAATTAACTATTATCCCCACTTTCTTTAGTGTTTTTTTTACTTCTTAGTAGTATTCAAATTCCCTATATAATTTAAATTAACTATTTGTTCTGGGAGGTAGGTAGTTTTGTAGTTACAGGAACACTTATAATTAAGCTTTGGCCTCTAATGATGCTGGAAAGTGGCCAGAAACTTCCCTATTGCCAAACCTAGCTACTGCCTCTCAGAAGCATTTAACCTTTGCTTAAAATCTTTTCTTTTGGCTTTGGTGACACTAGCTATGCTGTCTGGGTCCTCCTACCTTTCTCTCTTCTCAGGCTCTTTTATCGTCTTGGTGTAAGTATGATTACATTTAGAATCTTGCCTTCAGTTTGGATTTTCTTCGTACATTCTCTCCTTAGCACTTTATTTACTCTCACAGCCCTGGTGAGCGCCTCCAAAACAGCACACCTCTGGCTGTATGTATTCCAGCCACAGCGAACTGCTGAGCTCCATGCCTTTGTACCTTTAGCACCCTAACTTACATTTTATGAAACTAAATGAGTATTTTCTTTTCCCCCAATTCACGTGTATTCTTAATCCCCAATCATCTTGGTTTTACATGTTGGTAATTATAGCTTTTATACCACAAAGTGCTTTCAAAGACATTTTTGATGTTTTAGTGGCTGCATAAGTGGTAAGTCATAAAGTAACTTAACAAAATTTAGAGAGTTTTCTGTGCATAAAACCACTTCTCTAAAATGATTAGCTTTTTCTCGCTTTCTTTTCTTTTTTTTTTTTTCTTTTTTTGGAGAGGTTTTTTGCTATAGGACGTGTGTGTTCGCCAGAAGACAGAGAGAGACACAAAGACAGAAAGCGAGAAATCACCTCCCTGGGGGATGGCCACGCTGCAATCCCTTCTCCTCCAGTCTCCTCTCAGGATCTTGGGCATGCACATACATGCGCCCGGCATGAGTTTAAGCCACCAGGTCCAGGACTCGAACCGCAGTTGACTACATGGGAGTCTAGCAACATAGCCATTATACTAATTGCTGGTCTCCTTGCTAACTTTCTTATAAAAAGTTCTACAGGGGCCACCAGGTGACATGGTGGTTAAGGTGTTGGAGTCCCATATAGCTGACTGCAATTCGAGTCCTGGACCTAGAGGCTTTAAAGTCATACCAGGCACATATGTGTGCATGCCCAGAATCCCAGGAGGAGAAGGGATTACAGTGTGGCCTTCTCCCCGGGAAGATGAGTTCTCACTTTCCCTCTCTGTCTTTCTCTGGTGAGCTCAGAGCCCGAACCCACAAAGGAAAAAAC